GATCCCAAGAGGAGAATGGAGGAGAAGGGATTGCGGCGTGGCCGTCCCCCTGGGGTGTGATTTCTTGCTTTCTGTCTGTCTTTTTGGTGAGCGCATGCGCCCTATAGCAAAAACCTCTCCAAAAAAAAAAAATCTTCCCATATTGTTATCAAAAAATTTGTGATAGTTTCATATCAACCTTGGAATAAAATGATTCACTTGCTACTGAGCTAAATCTGAGGCCCTGAGGAAGAAAGCTTTTGAAAAAGACATTTGAAAAAGACTTTATTCCAGGGACCAGCAGTTAGCGTAATGGCTATATCACTGGACTCTCATGTAGTTGACTGCAGTTCGAGTCCCAGACCCAGTGGCTTAAACTCACGCCAGGCGCGTATGCATGCGTGCCCAAGATCCCGAGAGGAGAATGGAGGAGAAGGGATTGCGGCGTGGCTATCCCCCCAGGGGGTTATTTCTCGCTTTCTGTCTCTCTGTCTCTCTCTGTCTGGCTGGCGAGCGCACGTGCCCTATAGCAAAAACCTCTCAAAAAAAAGACTTTATTCCATTTGACATGGCCATAAAGCTTGGGCTGCATCTCAAAAATGGCCTTATTAAAAATAAGAGAAGCCACTTGTTACAGTACCATCTATAATTGCAAAAGTCTGGAAATGACCCTGAGGCAAACACCAGGGCTGACCGAGTGAGTGTACACTGGCGTCCTACTCAGCTGTAAAGGAAAGGGGGGACATCTCTCAAAAGTACCATAGAATGGCCGCAGGGTGAGAAGATTGGGAAAACAAGGTGGAGAAGAATGATGGCAGTAGGAGACCTTTCACCAAATCACCAAATAAGGTGGGGAAGGGTAAATACATGTGTGTATCTGTATCTCTCTCTCTCTCTCTCTCTCTCCATATATATATATATATACACACACGTGTGTGTGTGTAAAGATATGTGCGTATACACACACACACACACACAAACACAAACACAGTGGGTCGTCTGAAAAGTTGTGATGCATTTTTACATAAAAAAAAATTTAAAAATACATTATGAGTTTTCCAGTGACCCAACAATATATACAGCTTTGCTTATATTTCTTAAAAATTAAAGGATAAATTATACGTGTATGTGTGTGTGTATATGTGTGTGTGTGTGTGTGCGTATTTATAGTTTTGCTATAGGGCACATGTGCTTGCGAAAGAGAACAAAAGAGAAAGAGTGATTTCTCACTCCCTAAGGGGAATGGCCATGCCACAATCTCTTTTCCTCCACTCTCCTCTTAGGATTTTGGGCACACATACACACGTACTCAGTGTGTTTTTCAAGCCCCCTGGGGTCTGGGACCAGAACCATGAAGTCAGCCATGTGTGATCTAGCTGCCTTAACCACTACATCACTGGCCGCCCTCCAGATTTTTAGACTGTTATTTTTGGGGCCAAGAGAGAATGAGGTGAAATGGCAGACTTCTCTTGGTGTATTTTATTTGGCAGGATTGATTGAGAACCATGCAAATATTTCACATAATTATAAAACTGAATTAAATGTAACTTAATTGGCAATTTCAATACATCTAATTCTAAATGAAGCAAGTTAACTTGACTATGAGTAAAGTTGGGGGCATAACCTCAAAAAGAAGGATTTCAAGTGACTTTAAGCAATCAGTGAGCTGTATATTTTAATGGGATGTGCCTTAAGGGCAAAAATAACTGTGTATAAAAATTTAGACCAGGAGCTAAATAATGACACAAGGGTAAAACGTGATGCTCCGTGTAAGTGACTCTCATGGGAAAGTTCCGGATTCATATTTGGAGATGTCTCTGAATACGCCAGGTACATGCATGTGTGTGATCTGGGGCTGGCTGAAGATAGGAGGTGGATCATAGCAAGAAGAACCTGTTTGGGGGATGCTGTCTCTCTGTCTTTCTCTCACTCAGTCACTCACTCACTCAGTCAATAAACACATACATAAATAAACAAACAAACAAACTTAACCAAAAAATAATAATAATAGCCAGGGCCAACAGATGGTGTAGCAGTTACATCACTGGATTCACACATGGCTGACTATATTTCAAGTCCCAGATTTAGAGGCTTGAAACTCACACTGGGTATGTGTGTGTGCATGCCCAATATCCCAGGAGAACAGAGGAAAAGGGATTGCAGCATGGCCATCCCCCCAGGGGGTAATTTCCTGCTTTCTGTCTCTGTCTCTTCAGCAAGCACATGTGCCCTATAACAAAGATCTGTCTCAAAAAAAAAAAAAAGCCATAGGGCATGTACTTGCCAGAGAGAGAGGCTGAGAGACAGACAGACAGACAGACAGAGAGGGAAAGTAAGAAAGTATTCTTTAGCAGGGACAGCCACAGCGTAATCCCTTCCCTCCATCCTCCTCTTGGAATTTTGGGCTCATGTGCACATGCACCTGGCAAGTTTTTCACGCTGGAGGGTCCAGAACTTGAACTGGGCTGTTGGCCATGAGAGATCCAGCTGCCTCAACCACCACACCACTATCTAACCCAATAAACACTTTTTAAAAATCTTAGATAATAACCAGTGTTGATAAGGACATGAAGAAATTGGTACCCTCCTATAGAGCTAGTGGAATGTAAACTGCAGCCACTTTGAAGGATGATTTGAAAGTTCTTCAAAAAGTTAAACTTGGGAGGAACCAGCAGTTAGCGTAATGGCTATGTCGCTGGACTCCCACATAGTCGACCGCGGTTCGTGTCCCGGACCCGGTGGCTTAAAACTCACGCCGGGCGCGTGTGCGTGCGTGCCCAAGATCCTGAGAGGAGAATGGAGGAGAAGGCGTGACCATCCCCCCTGGGGGGTGATTTCTCGCTTTCTGTCTCTATGTCTCTCTCTGTCTGTCTGGCGAGCGCACGCTCCCTACAGTGAAAATCTCTCCAAAAAAAAAAAAAGTTAAACTTGGGGACCAGCAGTTGGCGTAATGGCTGTGTCGCTGGACACCCACGTAGTCGACTGTGGTTCAAGTCCCGAACCTGGTGGCTTAAACTCACACCAGGCGCCTGTGCATGAGTGCCCAAGATCCCGAGAGGAGAATGGAGGAGAAGGGATTGCAGTGTGGCCATCCCCCCTAGGGAGTGATTTCTCGCTTTCTGGCTCTCTGTCTCTCTGTCTTTCTGGTGAACGTACACACCCTATACCAAAAACTCTCAAAAAAAAAAAAAAAGGTTAAACTTGGAGTTACCATATATGATCCATCAATTCTCCTTTTAGAAACCTCAAAGAACTGAAAACATTTGTCCACGCAAAAACCTGTACACAATCTTTCATAGCAGTATTATTTTTTATTTTTTTAAGTGAGAGTTTTGCTATAGGGTGCATGTGCTCTCCAGAGAGACAGAAAGCAAGAAATCAAGGGATGGCCACACTGCAATCCCTTCACCTCCAATCTACTCTCAGGATTTTGGGCATGTATGCACACTCACCATGTATGAGTTTCAAGCCTCTGGGTGGGAGACCTGAAGCACAGTCGGCCACGTGGGAGTCCAGTGACATAACTGTTACACCATCTGCTGGTCCCCATAGCAGTATTATTACAATGGCCAGAAAGTAGAAACAACACACACATCCCTCCTGGGAGTGGGGAAACAAAAGGTAGTCTGCCCACCCACTGAATAGTATTCTGTCCTAAGAAGAAAGGAAGCACTGACACCGCTACAATGCCGTGAACCCTGAAAACATGCTCGGTGAAAGAAGCCCGTCGCGAGAGGTCACATACTACATGATTCCATCCATATGAGCACCCAGAAGAGGCAAGTCCATAGAGGCCAAAAGTAGACTGGAGTTTGCCAGGGGCTGGGGAGAGGGGATGAGAAGCAGCTACGGCCAGCTCCAGGGTCCACACCACTCCCGCAGCCTCCAGCCCTGAAAAGGGCTGCACAGCTCAGGCCATAGAGGCCTTGGAGCTCTCATCAGCAGCGGGGGGGAAGAGCAGCCCTGATAGTCACCAGGTCCTAGCCGCTCCTCATTCGTGCCACCTGGGGGGACCGTGGCCACATGCTCCCTGGGGAGAACAGGCACGTGGAGGCTTACTGGAGAGAGGGCTGATCAAACTGACAATACGGCGACCATGGTGGACCACCAAGGCTGCCCTGGCACCTTCGTTTCCACCCGGTCTCCAACGTCAAGGGTAAGGTGGGCACAGGGCAAGAGCTGGGTCAATGCTTATTGACTCTGCTTTGTTCAAGACAAATCCAGAAGAGTAGAGGGCAAGGAAAGAGAAAGCAGCCTTGGGTCTAAGGTAGCATGCCTGTGTCACCGTCCTGAAGACCTCACCCATCTGCCTTCCCAGCCTCCTGCCTCTGGGGAGAGAGGTAAGAAGGATCCAAGTGGAGGGGAGATGAGGGCATGGGAGAGTCCACCCTATCTCGCCTCACTGCAAGGAGAGGGGAAGAGGATTGAGCCCTGGGAAGGCAGGGGTCCTGGGATACTGCCTGAGACTTTGCTGAGGGTGGTCTCAGGTTTCCCCATGGTCCCTGAGGCCTATGCCCACTACCAAGGCTCTATGCATCTCATTCAGCCCTGTGTGAGCTGGACAGCCATGGTGGTCAACAATGAGGAATGGACAGCAGCATGCTCAGACACAGCCCAGGGCCACGGCAAGGCACCAGTGCCATGGCCTTCTAGCCACTGCCCGGGCCACCCATGCTCAGCTCACACCAGGGTCAGGATGGGCTATGGTGATGAAAGGGGGCAGACTGAGAGCTTGGCACTGTGTCTGCGCCACTTGAAAAATGCCTGTACCATCAGAAACAGGAGGTCGGGGCCCATGGAGGACACTTCTTGGCTGATTAACTTTTTGCAGGGTGGGTGCTCCCAGGGCTAGCCCACCTCACACACAGACAGGCCACACATCGGAGCCTGGCCCTGCACCTGCCAGTGGCCAAGAAGCTCCAGACAGAAACCACCGTAAGACTCTGAGCATCAGCCCACACCATGTGCTCCAAATGCAGGGAGAGGACAAATCCAGCCCCCGGACCAGAAACAGCTCTTACCTGGGGCCTGACAAGCACCGAGGGTCCTCCTGGGCCGTATCATCATGCTGATTCTCCCCGCTGGCTGAGGGTCTCTCTTCATCCTGCTCTCTGGCTTTTGACTCCTGTGGCTGTGCCACCTCACCCTCTGCTCGCAAACCACTTGCCGTGTCCACTGGGGAACCTGAGGGGTGTGCCAGGCACTTGTTGGGAGCAGAGGTTTTGGGCTCCTGCTTGTCAGAGGCATCTCCTGTGGGCAGGGGAGCCTCGGGAGCAGACCGGGCCTCATCCAGTCTCTCCAGGCCCTTGTCACTGGTCTTGGCTAAGCCTGCAGCATAAGAGGCACTGATGACACCTCCTGGGCTACACTTTTCCCTCACACGCTCCGCGGCATCCTCCCTGCCGTCCCCACAGCTCCCGCAGCACACACAGGAATTAAGGAGGCAGTTGGTGGCCGCGGTGCTGAGTTTATGGGAGCTACCCTCTGTCCCCTCGGCCACAGGCTCCGATGGGGAAATGCCATGGCCTAGGGCTTCCTGAGTGGAGGCAGCGGAGTCCAGGGAGGTGGGGGACTTGGGATTGAAAATGACTGTGGCTGAGAGCTTCATGCCCCCCGTCCGGTGGGCGATCATCTCAGCCGTCTCTGCGTCGTCCCCACTCACCTCCCAGCCGTCCAGGTACAGCTGCGAGTCCAGGCAGCTGCAGGAGTTGGAGCCCGAGAGGCTGGCTACCCGCAATTTGTCATCTTCGATGTTGTTGTTGTTGCTCAAGTCCTCCGCCTTTTCCGTGGTAGGCACACTGACCCCCACCACTCTGTTCTGCTCACCCTGTCCTCTCTCCTGCGAGGTGGCACAAGTGCTGCCCACCCACCCGAATGGGCCACTCGGGGACTCAGGCCTGGCAGGGGCTTCTGCTGCCCCTTCTACATCATCCATGAAGAATACCCGCTCCTCTTCATCGCTGCCTGACTGCAGCCGCGCTCTGCTTGGAGAGGCCTCCCCACAGGGGCTGCCTTCGACTCCGGGCCTGTGCGCAGGGGACTGGCAGGCGCTGGGTGGTGAGAGCAGAGAGGACATCTCGTCCCCTGCCCTGTGGACCATGCGGTTGAGCTGCTCCAGCTCCTGGTCATCGTACTGCATGGAGCAGGCCAGCTCTGCCTCTGGGTTTTTGGCCTTGGCTGAAAGTGGCTCCTCCGGGGGAAGGGGTGTGGAAAAGGCTGGTGCCAGGGCAGTGGGAACCTGGACATCTGCCCGGATGGGGAACTCCACATCCTGGGAAATGCAGAGGTTCCGCTCCAGTGTGTGCAGCTCCTCCTCTGTCAGCGTCTGAAGCAAATCCCTGCAACGGTCAAGACAAAAAACAAAAGTGAGGATCCCAAAGGCTGCAGCAGCCTCCTTGGCCGAGAGTAGACACAGGACCCTGAATGCTTGCAACTAACTTCACACAGCACAGGGAGGTTTCCTCTGACACAAAACGAGGCGCACATCTCCAGGTCAGGACAACGGCTTTCAAGGTGGCTGAGTTGATTCTAAGATAGCTTCTTTCTAAAAATGTGATTCTGCAATTTCTCACTAAAAACAAGAAAGTCCTGAATTTTAGGGATGTTTTGATTGCATTGGTAAAAATGTAAAGGCCTAGCCTCAGTAGCAGCACAGGCAGTAGCATACTGAACTGTGGTGCTGGAAGCCACATGGTGCACTGCAGGTTTGCATCCCTGGCCCGGTCGACCTGAAACACAGACAGTGCCCAAGATCCTGAAGAGCTGGAGGACTGGGGAAGGGAATGGCAAAGTGACAAGATCCTGTTGATGGTGCTTCTCTCTCTCATGTGTACACATGTGCTGTGAAAAAAGATAAAAAATAAACTTTAAGGAGTAAAAAAAAAATGTTGATTTACAAAAAGACTTTAATCCTTTCATTCCACAAATAATATCAAGCATCAACTCTGTGCCAGGCACTGGGTACTGGGGATGCTCAGGAAGAAGACAGGCATGGGTGCTGCCCTTACAGGGTTACCCTCCAGTGGGTGTGGCAGATAACATACACATATTTATATAAATAGTGACTGAAGTGTGATGGTAACTGCAACAAAAGAAAACGCAAGCCACTAAGCAGGGTACAGCAAGGCATCTGGTTTAGTCTGGGAAGCCTTCCTGGAGGAAGGGGCATTGGTGCTGAGACCCAAAGGTGCAGTTGATTACATGATGATGGCTAGGATAAGTCTACAGCAGGTCCTACAGAGCAACCACACATTGCTGACTACTGGGAAAAGCCCAGGCTGTGTCTGAGGTCTGAGTCCCATGATAAACATTCCAGCACAGTCATGGGACATGCAGGAGAGTGCACTTCTCAGAACTGTCCAGTTCGCTGAGCTTTCTTTCATATACCCATGTGAACAGCATCAAGATCAAAAAATAAAACATGGGGGATCAGCAGGTGGCGTGGTGGTTGGGCTGCTGGACTTCCACAAGGCTGACCGTGGTTTGAGCCTTGGACTTGGCAGCTTGCTTTCTCACATTCCCTCTCTCTGTCTCTCTGTCTAGTCAAATTAAAATAATAATAAAAAATAATAATAATTAAACTAAATAAATAATTCTTTTTAAAAAATAAATAAGTAAACCGTGAACTAGGACCTCAGGCTGCCCTCATGTGCCTCTCCAGGCATTCTCCACGTTTCCTGACTCAAGGCTAAGGTAATCTCACCTGCTTTGATCCTCTGGAGAAATAGGCATTTGCAGTCTACAATATTTTGTGACTGACTTTGTTTGTCAATGTTATATTTTGTAGACTTACCAGTTATAATATAGGATGCCCAGTTAAATTTGAATTTCAGATAAACAACAAATACTTCTTTTTATTTTTATTTATTTATTTTTTTGAGAGACAGATTTTTGCTACAGGGTGTGTGTACTCACCAGAGAGAGATGGCCATGCCACAATCTCTTCTCCTCCATTCTCCTTTCACGATTCTAGACATGTATTACATATGCCTGGTATGAGTTTTAGGCCGCCAGGTCCAGGACTTGAACAGCGTTCCGACACGTGGGAGTCCAGTGCTTTAACCACCACCTGCTGGCCCATTCTATTTTTTTGGTTTTTGGAGCAGTTTTTATTATACAGCACGTGCGCTCACCAGACAGACAGAGACAGAGAGACAGAAAACGAGAAATCACCCCCCAGGGGGGATGGCCACATCACAATCCCTTCTCCTCCATTCTCCTCCTGGGATCTTGGGCACACACGCACATGCGCCTGGCATGAGTTTAAGCCACCGGGTCCGGGACTTGAACCACGGTCGACTACGTGGGAGTCCAGCAACATAGCCATTTACGCTAACTGCTGGTCCCACCTTTTCCCATTCTTAATGGAGTGTTTTGGTGAAGTGAAGTTTTAAATTTTAGTAAAATGTGATATATCTTATTTTTTCTTTATAGTTGGTGTTTTTGTGTCCTGTTTAAGACATCTTTGCCTACTCCAGGATCACGAAGACATCCCTGATTATTTTTTTCTAAAACCTTTATTATTTTCACATTTATATCTCCTATATCTGATATTGGTATTTGTATCAGTAAGTAATGAAACTGATTTTATACCAACTCTGTCTGGAGTTTACTTTTGAATATGATTGTGGTAAGGATCCAGAGAGAGAGTTCCATGTGAGACGCGTCTTTCTTACATGGATACCTATGCACTCATCCATTTACTGGGGGGAGACAAAGTCATTCTCCACTGTTCTGCTTCATCATAAACCAGGGAAGCACGTAGGGGCTGGTCTACTTCTCGACTTTCGATTCTGTCGAATGGGCCAGAGTCCCATCACTGCACTACATTTGCCCACGTTACTACAGCTTTACAAACAGGAAGTGTCCCTAGCTTTGTTGGTTATGAAGCACATTAAACAGAAATATATACATACGGCTCCCTAGAGACACACAGGGATGGTCACAGCAGCACTATTTGTGGAAACTGCCCAAACCCAACAAAAGTAGACTAGATAAAAAAATCTTTGTCTTGGCTATTCCAGAACCCTTTCATTTCCATAAGAAATTAATTAGTTCGTCAGGCCCAGCCTTGGTGATACAGGCAGTGGCATACTGAACTGCGCTGCTGAAAGCCATACACCTACCTGGCTGTAGGTTCAGATCCTGAGTCAATCTGAAACTTGCCAGGTGCGTGTACCCAAGATCCCGACTAGCTGGAAGGTTGGAGGGAGGGGATCAAGGCAGACTGAGACACTGTTCAGGGTGCCTGTCTCTCTTTTCCCCTCTGTCCCCTCCTTTTTTTTTTTTTTCATGTAGGCGTGCACATGGATATTCTCTCTCACGAAAGAAATACAATTTAAAAGAAAGATTAGAAATTAGTTTTTCTTTTTTAATCTCAACATTGCAATTTTTTAAAAAGAACTATTTTATTTAACTTTCTTCCTACCTATCTTTCTTTCTCTCTCTCTCTCTCTCTCTCTCTCTCTCTTTCCTTCTTTCTTTTAATTTTACCAGAGAGGGACAGAGTGAGAGAAAGAGAGAAAGTGAGAAATCACCCCCAGGGGGTATGACCATATTGTAATCCCTTCTCCTCCATTCTCCTCTTGGGATCTTGGGCACACATGCACACACGCCTGACATGAGTTTAAGTCACCAGATCCGGGACTCGAACCACGGTCAACTACCTGGGAGTCCAGCAACATAGTCATTACGTCAACTGTTGGTCCCCGATTTGTCTTATTTCTTCCATGAGAGAAAGAGATAGAGACAGACAGATAGATAAACACCCCCTCATACTGCAACTTACCCCAGCCTCAGTCAGTGTGAGCCTGACATGCACAGAGAGGCCTCAGGACACGAACTCTGGACTTTCCTATGTGCATCTAACATCACAGAGCACTGCATTACTGCTGTACCTTCATCTGGTCCCATTCAGTCTCTACTTCTAATTTTAGTTCTCTTGCTATCCCCACTACACTTGACACCTTGAGCCTGTCAAAGTCATGCATGATGGCTGGAATTAACCACTTCCAAATTCCTATTAATGTTATTATTATTTTTTTTTGGAGAGGTTTTTGCTATAGGGTGCGTGCACTTGCCCGACAGACAGAGGGAGACAGAGAGATAGAAAGTGAGAAATCACCCCCCAGGGGTGATGGCCATGCTGCAATCCCTTCTTCTCCATTCTCCTCTCGGGATCTTGGGCATGCACACACATGTGCCCAGCGTGAGTTTAAGCCACCGGGTCTGGGACTCGAGCCATGGTCAGCTACATGGGAGTTCAGCGACATAGCCATTACACTAACTGCTGGTCCCCTATTATTGTTATTTTGACCTCCTCCCATGAATCATGAATGTTTATAATGGCATCTTGAATAGTGATTTCTTTCCAAAAGGTTTTTTTTTTTTTTTAATTGCCAGAGGGCACATGAACTCACCAGAGAGAGAAAACAGGAGAGGAGAAAAAAATCATCTATCTTGTCGGGTATTTGGGCACGTATGCATACATGCTTAATGTGTGCTTTTCAAGCTGCTGGAATGAGGATTTGAACCACAGTCAGCCATGTGAGATCAGGCACCCTTCACCACTTGGCTATGGAGCTGGCCCACCAGAGGTTTTCCATTTATTTTGCCCAGATACATCAGTGGAATCATTATCTATGGGAGCTGTAGTCTTATAAAATGTATTTCTTAAATAATAAGGTTTGAAAGTTAAAATGACTCCTCGACCCATGGGCTGCAGAATGGAAGCTGTGTTAGCAGGCACAAAAAACATGTATCTGTGTACATCTCCATTAGAGTTATTAGATGACCAGGAACATGGTCAATGAAGAATAAAACCATGAAGGGAATATTTTTTCCTGTTCAGTAGGTCTCAACAGAGGTCTTAAATAAAGTATTCGGTAAACACCAGGCCAGCAGATGTATGACGGTTATGTTGCTGGACTCCCACATGGCCAACTGTGGTTCAAGTCCTGGCATGTGTGTATGCATGCCCAAGATCCCAGGAGGAAAATAGAGGAAAAGGGACTATGGTGTGGCCATCCCCCTGGGGGGTGATTTTTCATTTTGCCTCTCATTGTCTCTCTCTCCCAGCAAGCACACATGCCCTAAGGCGTAAACCTCTAAATATGTGTGTGTGTGTGTGTGTGTGTGTGTGTGTTTTTTTACAATAAACTATGTTATAATAGCAGGTTGTCAGAAAAGTCACGATACATTTTTGCATAGAAAAATACGTCATGACTTTTCCAACAACTCAATGGACGCATTGTCATCTAGGCTTTATTGTTCCATTTACAGAGCAAAGGCAGGGTAGATTTAGCATATTTCTTAAGAGTCTCAAGACTTTCAGAATGGT